TTTTATGATTTTCTATGGTATTTATAATTCTGTTTTTTTATAAGTTTCTGACCCTACAACATTCAAATACAGTACTTCAGATAATATAAGCAAACATATGCTTTCTAGAAATACAGTCTTTATTAAATATAATATTTTATTGTTATAAAGTTATTCAACTCTTTCTAATAAAAATTTTATCATTAGAATCATATATATTTCACAGTATAAATCCCTGTTAAGAACAAAAACACTTATATAAGACTAGGTATCCATCAGTTTAATTTGTACAGAAGAATGAAGCTAATAAGATTCATCTTTATAAGGTCAAATTAACTTAGAAGTATACAATTCTTACTTGAGAGTCTGCAAGTACATATATAAAACCATATATACAAACTTTATATAACATATATGTATAAAATCAGTCAATAAATGGTAACATAATATCATATATAATTTACAATATATATATCTCTTCCAAAGCTAAGTGTGTATCTCTTTTTGAAAGAAGGAACACAAGTAATTAATCTTGATTTTGTTCAAACAACAGATAGCCCAGAGGAGAACATTTTTAATCAACACCTGAGATCAGGTGGGGATGGATAGAGTTCTGTGCACTAATGGTCAAATTACAGTGCAATCCATACAAATAGGCATTCAGTTCCTCAAGGGATAAAAAGACAAAAGAAAGAAAGGTGACACACACACACACAAAATCCAGTAATAGTCCGAGTCGTCATCCTGTTCCTTTAAGCAATTACCCATGTCAGGCATATCTTTTCTTCCAAGCATCACCTTCATTTCTTCTTGTTGAGCTTTGAGAATTTGGTCACCACTGGTCGGGGCTAATTCAAATGGACATTTAAATAAGTTCTTTAGTGGGGCGCTTGGGTGGCTCAGTTGTTAAGCGTCTGCCTTCCGCTCAGGTCGTGATCCCAGGGTCCTGGGATCGAGCCCCGCATCGGGCTCCCTGCTCGGCGGGAAGCCTGCTTCTCCCTCTCCCACTCCCCCTGCTTGTGTTCCCTCTTTTGCTGTGTCTCTCTCTGCCAAATAAATAAAATCTTTAAAAAATAAATAAATAAATAAGTTCTTTAGCTGCTATTGTTAACAATGATACAATGTACTTCCTTGTATCTTTGCTGGCATGCGTGATGATCTTTTAGAATAAATGACTGAATTGAAATGATCAGGTCAAAGGGTATGCACACTTCTAGGGTTTTTATTTCAAATTGCCAAATAGTCTTCCAGAAAGATTTTATAAAATTACTTTCCCACTGACCAATTTACTTTCTCGCTACTGCCATTTAGTAACATGTTTTTTGATTATTTATAATCATAGAGAGAATATGGTATCTCATTGATTTAATTTGCATTTGTTTAATAAAAGATATTTTTTCATGTCTCAGGCCATTAGTATGTCTTGTGAAATGCTTGTTGATATTCCCTACCTTTGAATATTGTGGTGCTCATCTTCTGATTATTGATTTCTTTTTTTTTAAGTAGGCTCCACGCCCAGCATGGAGTCCAATGTGGAACTTGAACTCAAGATCTTGAGATCAAGACCTGAGCTGAGATCACGAGTCAGATGCTTAACCGACTGAGCCACCCAGGCGCCCCTGATTGTTAAGAGTTTCTTGTATGATAAGGAAATTGATACCTTGTTATATGTTGCAAATATTTCTCTAGTTTCTCATTTGTTACCAGTTTTATTTATAGTATATATATATATATTTATTTAAAGATTTTATTTATTTATTTGACAGAGGGAGACACAGCGAGAGAGGGAACACAAGCAGGGGGAGTCAGGGAGGGAGAAACAGGCTTCCTGCTGAGCAGGGAGCCTGATGTGTGGCTCCATCCCAGGACGCTGGGATCATGACCCAAGCTGAAGGCAGATGCTTAACGACTGAGCCACCCAGGCGCCCCTTCTTTGTCTTTTTTTTTTTTCCAATTTTATTTTATTTTAATTTTATTTTGTTATGTTATGTTAATCACCATACATTACATCATTAGTTTTTGATGTAGTGTCCTTTGTCTTTTTTTGACCTGGGAGTCAAAGTTAGTAACCTCCACGTAGCAGGTTCCTATCCCATAAGGAAGCAACTTGCTAACTTCTGTGAGAGCCGTGGGGCAGGGGTTGGGTGCTAATCAGGGAAATTGTTCTTGCTGTCTGTTGTGCTTTGGGAAGTGTTACCTCTTGTTGGCCATTGGCTCCTCTCTGGCAATGATAACCAGTGGTATCTGCCTAGCAATGCAGTGGGTGGTACAGGGGATGAGGGAGGGGCACCTGTCTCCTCAGCACAATGGCTGCTTCTACTCCCAAAACCCCAGCAAAAGCTAATCTGACCATGGAACAGTGATCAAAATTAGAAAACTAACATTGACATGGTACTAGTAACAAATCTATAGACCCAATTCGATTTTCTCCAGTGACCCCACTAATGTCCTTTTTATGGTCTAGAATTCAATCTAGCATTCCATGTTACCTTTAGCTGTCTCCTTAGTTTCCTCTAATCTGGGACACTTTTTCAGCTTTTCCTTGTCTTTCATGACCTTAACTTTTTTTTTTTTTAAAGTAAACTCCTGGCCCAGGGCAGAGCCCAACACGGGGCTTGAACTCATCACCCTGAAATCAAGACCTGAGCTGAGATCGAGAGTGAGATGCTTAACCAACTGAGCCACCCACGCGCCCCTGACCTTAATATTTTTTAAGAGTATTGGTTAGTGATGTTATAGGTTGTCCCTCAATTTGAGTTTATCTGACATTTTCTCACAATGAGGTTGAAATCATGCATTTTGGCAAGAATGCCACAGGAGACATGTACCTTTCTCGGTGCATTATAACAGGGGTCCATGATGTCAATATGTCTTAGTACTGCCGATGGTAACTTTGAGAACTTGGTTAAGATGGTATCTTCCAGGTTTCTCCAATGTAAGATTATTAATTTTCCCATTGTAATTAATAGGTATCTTGTGGGGAGATACTTTGAGAGTATGTAACCATCCTGTTTCTCATTATCCTTTCACCCATTGATTTTAATATAAAGTGATGATTCATTCCCATCACAGTTATTACGGTGGTGTTCATCTAAAGGTGATTTGCTATTTCAATAATTCCTCCCACATTTAGTAATTGGAATTTGTTATAAGGAAGAGCTGTTTCTTTCCTGTGATTTATTTGGTTATTTAATTATCTATTTATGTTGGTATGAACTCATAGCTATTTATTTTATTCTGCAACTTATAATTCATTACTATTATTTATTTGGTTACTCAGTTGTCCCAAATTTGGCCATCGGGAACTCCTTCAAATTAACTCCTAAGTTCTTGTGATATGTCTCCATCAGTTTTGGAGCATTTTTTCACTTCCTGGCACCATGAGATGTGCCAGATTCTTCTTGTGTTTTCCCTGCCCAATTGTGGAATCAACTGCTTAACCAATGAACCCTAGTTCTGTTCACTGAAGGAAGATATTTAGAAACCATGATTTGGTCTCTAGGTGGGATCATTACTACTGGGGTGTTTTTGCTTTTGGACCCTCTCAGTGGATAAGGCTAGAGAACACACATAACTATATTCTCACACACACTTACACACATCTGTATTTATTTCTGTATCTATCAATCTGTGTATATACTACAAATCATGAATTCACCCTGATAACCTCAGATTCCAACCCAACACCACAGGATTCATTCTACCCTTCCTTTCCCCTCATCTGTAACTTCTTTCTCCAACAGTGAGAAACTCCATCTCATTATGCCAATGTATTTACTTGTTTGCTCAGTCCTAGCATGTACGTAAAATAGTTCCACGATTGCTACCATAACCCTTTGAAAAATTTAGTAACTAGTGCATATTATTTACATACAGTTATTTTTGTAGTTAGCCTTATCCAATCAAAATACTATTTTCTAAAGTTATTCAGATTAGGTTCTGTCTTTGCCACAGTGTGGTTATGTTATTCATTTGTAGTGCAGTTGGGTTCACTGGTTACTATTTGTACTTTGAGTTCCTCCCATGTCCTGGTTGGTGTTAACTATTTATTTCTGGGGTGTGTGAAACTTGACCGTGGTTCTCAGAGTCAGAGCTATACAAAAAGGTCCACTTACTCTCCCCCTCATCTATTCTACCCTCTTTCCAATTCCCTTCCACCCTGTAGATAACCAATCTCATTAGTTTCCGGTGTATTCATCCTGTGTTTCTTTTGCATTAATGATCCCCTGCCAAATCTTGATGGCAAATGGACAAATATAGTAGCCAAGGCTTAAAAAGGCATGGTAATGAAGAGTACAGATTTCTCAAGGTGGAAAGTGTGGGTCAGTTGGACATGTGAGCTACTTTGACCAGAAGAGGTGCTAGCCAAGGGTGAGGAAACTCTAACATGGATGAGAGGGGAGGCGGGTGATGAATACTGGTGTAGCCTTGAGGTCAATTGCAGCAGTAGGCACTGTAGTTCATCTACTAGCTATCTTCTGGCAAATCTTTCCAGTAAAGGAGACCATCCAGAATCCTGGAGAAGCTCTTCACAGGTGGGATTAATTTATTGTAAGTAATAAGTGGATTCAAGCCCTGGAAGAGGTGGACTGCAGTAGATGTTGTGGTGTAACCCTCCCCCCGACGTTTCTGGATCCCCATTCGGAACAGAGACACTCATGCCCCCCTGCTGCGTGCCCCCCTCATAAGTACCTGGCATAGCATTATGTGCATAAAACAGAACCTTCTCTTTCTATAAGACAAGAACAGAGTATAGCAGACAGGAGAATAGCAAAAAGCACCACAGTGTGCATTTTAATGTTAAATCCTATGCCACCGAGAAGAAAGAGGAGGGCCAGCACGAACTAGAATAGTCAGCAAAGTTGAGGTGGTCTCCAGCCTCCCTCATCAAGCATTTCTTGGCCAGCTCCTGGAGCCCCACCATGAGGCACTGCACCGCTAACATGGTCCCTTGACCATCATCAGGGTCTCTTGAGGACAGGCCCTTCGGCACAAACACTACTTCTGCTTCTTCTTTGCAGAGTTGATCCCGCAGCCAAGGGGGCTGATTCATGATGTTTACAAAAACACAAATCCTCCAGGCATCAAAGCAGCTCCCCTGGGCTGAAGAAATGGGATCATTCACAGAGGTGAGGGGGGAAATGTCCCTGTCTTCATAAAGACTGCTACATTGTGCTTGCCTCTCCAAATCTCAGATGTTTCCCCAAAAACCTTTGCAAAGAGAAGAGAAAACAACGGGGCATCTGGGTGGCCCAGTCTGTTAAGTGTCTGGGTGGCCAAGTCGGTTAAGTGTCCAACTTTTGATTTCGGCTCAGGTCGTGATCTCAGGGTCATGAGGTCAGTCCTGCATCGGGCTCGGTGCTGAGCGTGGAGACTGCTTGGGATTCTCTCTCTCCCTCTCCCTCTGCCCCACCCCCCCGCCCGCCCAGTATGTGCATGCACATGCTCTTAAAGAAAAGAAACCAAGAATTGGGTCCTAGGTAGCAAATGCTTTTTGGATGGACAAATTATTTTTACGCCTCCCATGTGCCGACACCATGCTAGCTTCATGTCAGTTTACTTAATCCTTATAACCACTCTATGAGGTAGGCACTGTCCACCTTCTCTACAGATGGGGAACAGAGCTTTAGCTATGTTAAATACAGCCAACATCACTCTTGTCTGTCTCCAAAGCCCATCACACTGCCATGATGGAGACTGCTGTCATATATATCATACATAAGCCAATAACAAAAGACAAAAACCAAACACCCATTTATCTTCTGTTTTGTGCTTCATAGGCACTGGAATAATTTGCATTACAATTATTATGTAGCAGGTAATCAGTGCTTATTCAGTGAAGTGAAGATATAAGAATAAGACCCTTCTTATATATATGCAATGGAATATTATGCAGCCATCAAAAGGAATGAGATCTTGCCATTTGCAACGACGTGGATGGAACTGGAGGGTGTTATGCTGATTGAAATAAGTCAATCAGAGAAAGACATGTATCATATGATCTCACTGATATGAGGAATTCTTTTTTTTTTAAAGATTTTATTTATTTATTTGAGAGAGAGAGTGAGAGAGAGAGAGACAGCACAAGAGGGAGGAGCGGGAGAGGGAGTAGCAGACTCCCCGCCGAGCAGGGAGCCTGATGCGGGACTCGATCCCGGGACTCCAGGATCATGACCTGAGCCGAAGGCAGTCGCTTAACCAACTGAGCCACCCAGGCGCCTGATATGAGGAATTCTTAATCGCAGGAAACAAACTGAGGGTTGCTGGAGTAGGGGGTGGGGTGGGAGGGATGGGGTGACTGGGTGATAGACACTGGGGAGGGTATGTGCTCTGGTGAGCACTGTGAATTGTGCAAGACTATTGAATCTCAGATCTGTACCTCTGAAACAAATAATGCAATATATGTTAAGAAAAAAAAAGAAGAAGATAGCAGGAGGGGAAGAAGGAAGGGGGGGGAAATCAGAGGGGGAGACGAACCATGAGAGACAATAGACTCTGAAAAACAAACTGAGGGCTCTAGAGGGGAGGGGGGTGGGAGGATGGGTTAGCCTGGTGATGGGTATTAAAGAGGGCACGTTCTGCATGGAGCACTGGGTGTTATGCACAAACAATGAATCATGGAACACTACATCTAAAACTAATGATGTAATGTATGGGGATTAACGTAACAAAAAAATTTTAAAAAAAGGAATAAGACCCTTCTGGGCCCACAAAAGGTACAGATGAGCTCTCCTGATATGCATGACGTCATGGCCTATGTATACAGATGGAGGGTACCTAGCCTCATGCCCACAGATGCACACAACTCTCCTCCTGTGTGTGGATGGTCTGTACCTATTGTCATGTGCTCACCTGGTACACACCTACCCCTGTGCTCACAGATGACATGTACTATTCTTAAGTGTACAGGTGACATATCTTAACTCACAGGATAACGAAGTCTGACATGTGGCGAAGTGCTGTATAATGGACTAACTGTTCAAGTTTAAACCATGTCAGATTTTTCTCTTTCAGGCATTGGACACGCTTACAAAAGTTAGGGTGTCCTAAGACAACCATTCAGCATTGTAGCCCATATGATTCCAAACAGTGCTTCCAAAGGTAAAATTAGAGGTATAAATTTTGCCTTCAGGCATGGGGAGCATATCACGTGGGGAAGCACAAATCAGGCAGCCAGAGCAAAGAAGCCTCCATCAGAGTGACCGCGGTGTGATTTGCCATGCGAAGTGGATATTCCTGGATGTGTCTGCTCAGCACTCCTTTTTCCTTTGGGAAGTGCCTCAGCCACTCCCTCCCGAGCTGCCTTGTCAGTGCATCGTGACCTGTTCCTGGCCATTTGGTTATTTCAGAGATGAGCACTTGAACCAGCTGGGCATCGCGATCCCAGAGTCCTTGCCTAAGACTTTTCTAACAGGGACTTAAAAAGAGAGTCGGAGAAACATCGCCAAAGGCAAGGGAAGCAAGGGCAAAAATGAACTATTGGGACTTCATCAAGATAAAAAGCTTTTGCAAAGCAAAGGAAACAGTCAACAAAACCAAAAGACAACCAACAGAATGGGAGAAGATGTTTGCAAATGACATATCAGATAAAGGGCTAGTATCCAAAATCTATAAAGAACTCATCAAACTCAACACCCAAAGAACAAAAAATCCAATCAAGAAATGGGCAGAAGACATGAACAGACATTTTTCCAAAGAAGACATCCAAATGGCCAACAGACACATGAAAAAGTGCTCAATATCGCTCGGCATCAGGGAAATCCAAATCAAAACCTCAGTGAGATACCACCTCACACCAGTCAGAATGGCTAAAATTAACAAGTCAGGAAACGACAGGTGTTGGCGGGGATGCAGAGAAAGGGGAACCCTCCTACACTGTTGGTGGGAATGCAAGCTGGTGCAGCCACTCTGGAAAACTGTATGGAGGTTCCTCAAAAGGTTGAAAATAGAGCTACCATATGATCCAGCAATTGCACTACTGGGTATTTACCCCAAAGAGACAAAAGTAGGGATCCGAAGGGGTACGTGCACCCCGATGTTTATAGCAGCAATGTCCACAATAGCCAAACTGTGGAAAGAGCCAAGATGTCCATCGACAGATGAATGGATAAAGAAGAGGTGGTATATATATACAATGGAATATTATGCAGCCATCAAAAGGAATGAGATCTTGCCATTTGCAACGACATGGATGGAACTGGAGGGTATTATGTTGAGTGAAATAAGTCAAACAGAGAAAGACATGTATCATATGATCTCACTGATATGAGGAATTCTTAATTGCAGGAAACAAACTGAGGGTTGCTGGAGTGGGGGGTAGGGTGGGAGGGATGGGGTGACTGGGTGATAGACACTGGGGAGGGTATGCGCTCTGGTAAGCGCTGTGAATTGTGCAAGACTGTTGAATCTCAGATCTGTACCTCTGAAACAAATAATGCAATATATGTTAAGAAAAAAAGAAGAAGAAGAAGAAAGTAGCGGGAGGGGAAGAATGAAGCGGGGGAAATCGGAGGGGTAGACGAACCATGAGAGACGATGGACTCTGAAAAACAAACAGGGTTCTAGAGGGGAGGGGGGTGGGAGGATGGGTTAGCCTGGTGGTGGGTATTGAGAAGGGCACATTCTGCATGGAGCACTGGGTGTTATGCACAAACAATGAATCATGGAACACTTCATCTAAAACTAATAATGTAATGTATGGGGATTAACATAAGAATAATAAAAAAAACCTGATGATTAGTAGTACTATAAGAATGTAGAGAATGGCAAAATCATGTGTGTAGTATCATTAAAGCATAAGGGGAAAAAATGGAAAGGTGTATCAAAATTATATGTGATGGGACTAAGAGTTATTTGTTTCCAACTTTTCCACAATGTGATCATATTACTGAAATAAAATCATTAAAAATAAAAAAATAAAAAAAAGAGAGAGTCGGCTTTTCTTTAGTGACCAAAACTGTGAACACTGAGGCTGTCAGTGACCGGGTGAAGAAAGTTGGTGTGCAAGCAAAAGATCAATGAAACCAATAGGCACGCACGTGCACACACACACATGGACAGAAGGGCAGAGACAGACATGAAGACATTTGAGTTCTTGGTTCTGATATAGCATGGGTATTTCATGAAGAGGGCCCTAAAATCTTTGACCAAGTCCTTCTTTCTGCTAAGGCAAGTCAGGGATGGTTTGCAATAAAAAGGCCCTTTACCAGTGCAGAATGATTGATGAGCCCTGTCCTAATAATGCTAATATGCTGCAGTAAATACCTACTGAGAGGCAGACCTGTGGCATTGTTTCAATGCTCAAAATATAGATATGGCCCAGATCTCCTATCAGAGATGGTTAATTTGGTATATTAATTTTTCAGAAACTTTCCAAATATAAATTTATGATAAGTACTTAAGTATTATCGTAGGTACTTAAGATACATGCATAAGTTTGCATAGTAAACTTTTATTGATCTGGCTTTCTAAACAGTAAGAGATTTGAAATTACCAAATTTTTCCTTACCCTACAGAAGCAAGTGAAGTAAGATATGGTAACTAAGGGAACTATTCCAAAAAACACATTTTGGGATACACTACAGGGTCGACATGAACACCTTTAATATTCTGTGCGTTTCAGTGGCTGAATGAATCATCAAAGCTACATGAAGCACAGCTTGACCTTGTTTTGAAGTGTATTTAGTCTCCTATAATTCTATGATATAGCTTGTTTATAATTCATGTATGAGCATCATAGTAATAACAGCTACTACTTTTTGAGTTCCTACCATGTAGCAGGCAGGCACCGTTCTGGGGGCCAAACACACATTAACTCCTTTAACCCCCACAGCAATCCTCTTGGGTAGATACTGTCATTATCCCTATTTGCAGATGACCAAGAGGTTACACTATTAAGAGGTTAAGCTGTGGAGAGAAAAGCCTGATACTACGGTCCACAGCTGTTAGGTAACTAAGATAATCATAGTAGGTCTCAGGTAAGTAGCATAATCAACTAACAAGACATCCTATTTCTCAAGTCCTTTAGAGGGGATTTTAATGTACAAACTTGTTTACAAACTCTTTGGATTTGTAGATTATGGATCAGGTATCAGTGAGGCAGAGATGTATGCAGGAAACCTTTCTTATGAAGGTTTAGGTCCCTGTGACTCAGAAGAGAGCAACATGGTGGATCTCCTCAACCCAGAGACAGCCTGTGTCAGGCTCTCCTCATTTCCTTATGGTGAGAGCAAAGCTTTCCAAGGCTTCTCATCTCTCTTAGGGTAAAAATCAGAACTCTTCCTGGGCCACAGGCTCTGTTAATTTCACCAGTCTCCACTGGGACATTGCGCCTTGCTACTCTGGCCTTACATTTCTCCCATCATAAAACCTTTAGATAAGACATTTCCTCTGACTGGTACGTGCACTTCATCTGCACTACCTAGGCAAACCCTACTCATCTGTTAGGCCTTCCCTGAACCACAGACCACATCTGGTTCCCTTCTTATAATCTCACAGCATCTTGTACTTCTTTCTTGTCATATTTATGAAAGTGGTAACAGAAAAATTGTGTAATTACTGAACGTCTGTCTCCCTGGCTCTAGGGGCAAGCTTCATGTAGGCAGGGGCTGTGTTTGTCTTGTTCGTTGCTGAATCTCCAGCACTTAGCCCATAGCTTAGCAGGTAGTTAGCACCAAATAAGTATTTGTAAACTAAGTAGAAGAATTACCAGCTGCCAGCTGAAGAGGAAATTTTTAAGTCTCCTTGGCATTGACCAGACCTGCTGAGTGTGGAAGACCTGCCCAGACACAGAGAACGCTAGAGCAGCTTGGCTGAGTGGTCAGCAAGCCAGAGGATAAACGAGCATACCTATAATTTTTTTTTTTTTCTATACAACTTTTAAGTGATTGGGAGGGGTTAGGGCAAAATTATGATTTTGTAAGCAATAAAGTACAATCCAGTTTTAACAGTGCTAAAATCTTGATCAGAGAAATTTCAAATCAGAACACTGAAGGCCAAAGTAAAAGAAACATAGTGGTTTTGATGGTATTATGTCTTGCTACCAAGTATGTTTCTATGGTTAACACTGTTCGCTTTTAGTTGCAGCCCTTTTAATTTTATGTTTTATCTTTAGTTTTTGCAAAGGTTTTTTTTTTTATCATCACTTTGCTGATTCCTCGAAACAATCTTATGCCGAGAACTGGTGCCCTGGCCTGGGCGATGAAGAAATGTTTCCTCTTTCAAAGACTCTTATTTTTTGGACGATAAGAATTGCTAAAGAGGAAGCAATCAAACCTATCGCGCTGGCTCTGTCCTCCACCCAGCGCGCTGCTTCCTGGTTTCAGACGCTTTCAGATCCTCCTGTGAAGTGTCATTGGATACATAAAACTGGACTGCCGTGTGTTTCTTTGAGATCCCATCTCTCAGTCTGTTCACCTGGATGACGCCACACGGGAATCGGTCGCGCAAACCCGATTCGTTTCCCGGTGACAACGAACCACAGTTTGCAGCGTTCACCAATGTGACATCAGTCCTAAACCTACGCTGGGAAAATGTGGCTCTACCACTTTTCCCGCAAGCTGGCAGCTGCCTTCGCGGCCGTGAGGTCCTGCACTTGCCTCCAGGCTCCGCCGGGCGCCCCGCGTCCCGGGAGGCGCGTGTCGTGGGCCGCTCCGCGGGACGGTCCCTGCGGATGCCCCGGGGGCCTCCCGAGGACGCGGCGAAACCCCGACGGACTTCGGCGACTGAAAAAACCACGGCAGAAGTTGTGCCTCCCAAAGACAGGTGCCGCCTTCGCAAGGCTACAGCTCCCCAACGCCTCCAACTCTCACAGGTCCTTTCTCGCCGCGGGTCTCCCGTAGCCCGGAGCCGCCGCCCCGCGCCAACCGCGGAGGACGCGGGCGGCGCCAAGAGCCTCCGTCCGCTCCCGCCACACCCGCCGAGCCGCCGCGCCGCGCCGCGCCGCGCCTCGGCCAACGCCTCCGCCACGTGCCCGCCTCCCGCAGCCAGGCCGCTCGCGATTGGCTGGCGGCGCCGCCCGTCGCGAGGGGCGGGCGCGCCGCCCGCAGGCCGGCGCTCCTATTGGCCGTGGCGGCGGCGGCGGCGGCGCGCGCGGCCCGGGCGAGGAGGGGAAGCCGGTGGCGGCGGTGGCGGAACGGGCGGAGGCTGCCGGTTTCGTAACCGTCGCTCCTCCTCGCTGACTCGCGGGCTGCGAGGCCTGGGTCCGTCGCGCCGCGCCGCGCGGGGCCGCTCGGAGTGGAGGCCGCCTGGGGGCGGGCGGGCTGGAGGCGCAGGTAAGGAGGCCGCGGGCAGGCGGGCTGAGGGAAGAGGAGGAGGCCGCGGCGGAGCCGGCCGCTCGCCTGGTTGCCGGCCGGGCCCGAGGAGACCCGGCCCGGCCTGAGGCGGCCGGCTGGCCGGGAAGGCCCCGCGCGGCGTCTGATGCAACCTGCCGGCAACACCCGGCGGGGCCGCTGAGCTCATCCCTGGCCGCGGCCCAGCGCTGCGGCGCCACCCGCCGACCCCCGCGCTCCCCCCGGGCGCCCCTCGCCGCCGGCCGGGGACGGGGCGGGGACGAGGTGTGCCCCCTCCGGAACCCGGCCTCTGTTGGAGCGACGGGCAGTGGTGACAGGCTAGGCGCGTGTGGGCCCCTGGGGATACAGGGTGTTCCCCAGAAGAGCAGTAGGTGGACCGTCCCTTACTGTCGTGCCGCATCGGATCTTGCCCGCCCCTCCAGGACCGCTCGGTGAGGGGAGGCGAGACTTCGGTTCCGAGGTTAGTAGAGCGCTCAAGTGGGCAGCGAAAGGAGTTGATGCTGAAGTCCGTGACTTTACAGAGCTAATCCCGTGCTTGCTTACGGAGCTGTAATTTGAATATCCTGCACTTGACCGCTGAACGAAGTTAGCTGAACGTGCAGCTACCACAAGTGGAATAGAAAAGAGAAGGGCCAGAAACGGAGCCCTTCGTTAGCCTGTCGCAGCGAACACAGTCAAGAAAAGAGCTGGCAGAGGGGTCTAGATGAAGAGGATGGAGATGCATGTTTGAGGGGGAAGGATCGGATCATCTGTTCTCCCACGGGGGCTTGTATGTTTTAATTCGTCAGAAGGTTTGATTGTTGGCCTTGTGTCTGAGGTTCATGTTGTAATCTGGCACCTTAAAACGTGTCCGTTTCAGAAAGGTTTTCAGGTTAGTGGGTTACACAAAAATTGGTAGTTCTCTTTCTGAGCCTACACTCAGCGAATCCTTACGTGAAGAGATTGCCCTTGAATTCAGATAGGATAACGCGACTCCCAAATAAATTTTGGAAAGAAAATACTGTAAGGGCTTGCTTTACTAAGAAATTCTGCATCTTAAAGTCCGTGATACTGAAAAGTTAAAATCTGGTCAGCTATAACCACTTGATCAGTATTGGGGATGAGCTATTCTTAAAGTGGAGTCTCTGTTTCTGGGAAAACTTCCTATAAACAAGGCTAAGTAATTACAGGATGCCAGTGAGCTGAAGAATTTTTTGATTTCTTGATTCCTGCTTCTGGTGGGTGCACTTGGCTGATTCAGTCATTTTTAATACCTGCCTGAAAAACAGGAGGAAACAAAATTTCATTTTTTCAGAATATCTTTTAAGTTCTCCAGGGCATAACATGACTGTCAGCAGTTGTCTGATCTTGGAGAGGTGGTTTCTTCTGTAGGGATTTAAACAGCACATGGTGAGTCCCTGGTAAAGACAAATAGGACCTCATGGGGCTGAATTTGGTCTTATGGTCTAGGATTGCCTCGCCTGATCACAGTAATGGTAAATGTGGGTAGCCACGATTCCAGGTATATTGTATATTCTTGGGAGTGAGTGCTTCCACCGGTTCTTGTAGGTACATTGGTCTCCTACCTTTTTGACTTTCCAGCCCTATCAGTTAAAATTTTTTTTTGAGTATGATTTCCTAATAGAGGTATATTTATAAACAATATGTGTACTGTTTTATTTTTGTATGTTGTAAATCCTACCAAAGGAAAATTAAAATGATGATGTTAAAAAAAGACAAATGAACGTACATTTTCTCCATACTCCAGTGGACCACTCATATACTCCCCAAAGGGATGTACCCTCCTTCATGGGCCCCCGTGTTGGGTCATGAAGCAAGCAGTGGCAACTAAATAGAAATCCTGCTCATCTGGGTATGTATTGACTTTGCTTACCTTGACATCACGTATAGTACAGAGTTGTCAGACCCTGGCAAAACATACCTAAGAACTTGAGGTTATTCATTGGAACACATAACTGGCTAAATAGAAAATAAAGGTTAACTGAGATGAAGCAAAGACCAGACAAGAAATGTTCATTGTATAGACTGGGCACTCGAAGTATCAAATGGAATTGTATTTTTATTTTCCTGTTCGCCTTTAAGAAAGACCAAGAACTTAGGGTTGGAAGACTATAAGATCTTACTAACACTTTTGATTTAATTGTGGTTGTTTTAAGAGATGTTAATGCTAGAGAATATCATTTCTATATAGGACATTTATAAAAATAAATGTTTTCTCTTAGCCTCTGAGCCAGTATTGGACAAATATTTCTCCAGCACCACCACTCCATGGCTAGCCCTGCACTAGATGCTGGGCATATGGATATGAAGACAGAGTCCTGCCTCTAGTTTAGTCTACAGGGAGCCACATTATAGAGCTGGCATTGACAGAGAAACTAGGGGAAAAAATTGGACAGCCACACAAAGAAAAGAGAAAGCGTGACCATTTAGGGGATTGGTAGTGGTTCGGTATTATTGAGGTGTGAAGCATAAGGGAGCAGGGGCTGGACACTAGCGCAGGTTTGAGTGCTCCATGGGTCTGGCGACAGTGGTTGGAGGGTGCACTGCTAAACCAGAGGGGACGAGTGCCCCCCGGGGAGATGGTGTCAGCCTGAGGTAATTCTGTGGTGTTAGGATGGAGAGGGATGGTGGTTGTAAGTTCTTTTGGGAGATGGGTACGTGTACAGATTGGGAGTAATGGAGAAACATCTGTGAATATTTTGGAGTGTAGATGCTCACTGAGGAAATATGAGTTAAGAATTTATTTTTTGGGGGGTGCCTGGGTGGCTCAGTCGGTTAAGCATCTGCCTTCCGCTCAGGTCATGATCCCAGGGTCCTGGGATCAGCCCCGTGTCGGGCTCCATGTTCGGCGGAGAGCCTGCTTCTCCCTCCCTCTCTGCCTGCCACTCTGCCTATCTGTGCTCTCTTTCTGTCAAATAAATAAAATCTTAAAAAAAAAAAAAATTTATTTTGGGGAGCATGGGGAGGAATATTTGGTTGTATATAATGTGGAGAAAAAAGTGACAGGAGGATTAGGAGAATTCTTGACAAGTTTACTTTCCCAAATGAAACTTAAGAGAAGTTTGTTTTACTCATTCTAACCTTGCTGAGTTTTCAGTGTGTTACTGATTTGAATGAACACTACTTGAATTAAGAAATTTGAATTTTAAAAAAATTTACCCAATCAGACCGTCTTTCTTAAGATCCATTGTTAATCTGCAGCATTGGCTCTTAAACCTCAGTGTCAACAGAATCACTTGGAGGTCCCTCTAAAACAACACTGCTCAGTCCTATTCCTAGAGCTCCTGATTCTTATGTCCGGGGTAGCCTGAGAATTTGCATTTCTGACAAGTTCCCAAATGATGCTGCTGCTGGTCCAGGGACCACGCTTTGAGAACTGCTCTTCAATTTTTCTCCTGCTCCCTGCCTGGATGATTCACATCTAAGGAAACGAGGCACCACCCTGCTTCCTGTGGAATGAACTTTGGAATAGTATTTGTCCACATAGGAGCCAGACTTTCATTTAGGGTTGAATATCCAGATTTGAAATAAACTAATTTTTTTTTCCCATTGTAGGTGCTAAGTGTTTGTGAAAGGAACAAAAGCATAAATGACAGTGGAAACTGTGAAATGTGTAACTTTGGAGGCAGCTATTTTGCTTGTGTAAAAGCACAGTTGATAATCTGGAGTTAACTCTCTTGGACCATTTGGCCCTTTGACCCCCCTCCCCCCCTTTACTTGGTTTACTTTCCTTAATGGATATTTTTTCACTTAAAACTTACTTCCCTGGCTTTGGTTGAGGAACTTAAAAAAAAAAAAAAAAAGAATCATTTTTGAATTATTTTTATTATTTCCAAGTTTCCTTACTTACATTTTTACCAATTTGATAGTTTCTTTGTTTTTCAAGCAATGAGCACATCTTCAAAGTACCCCCTACTCTAGTATCCTACCAAAATGAGTCAGGCTGAGGTAGAAGAGCTCTTCCCCATTCCTATATCTTTGGGTACAAAAATGGGCATGAACATCACTGAATTTGGAGCCTGTATTAAAAGTTTTTAGTGACTTAGGAATAAAAAAGCATAAAGGGGTAGAAAAGAGTTTTTAGTGACTAAAGTTCATGGTGTATTTTCAGAGTCAGAAGGCATCTTACCATTCTATATCCCTCATTTGCAGATGGGGAAATCGAGGCCCAAAGAGGGGAAGGGATAGGTCCAGAGCAAAACTGGGGGAGCCAGAGCCAAGACAAGAATTGACCTGGTTCCTGCTCTGTGCTTTTTGGATCATTTTCTCTTTGAGCTGTCTCTAGAGATTAGCTTTAGAGGTTAAAACCATAATTGGTGTATGAGAAATAAAAAAGTTAAATAAGATGACCGTGATCATGATAGTTGAGACAATCCCAGGAGAAGTGTTAAAGTTTTTAAAAGTCAACTAAAATTCTTATGCTCACTTTACACCAAATAAATAAGCAATAATGTAGGTGGCCACTAACACTATTAGTGGTAAGGTGGCCCAAGTTAATACTGAATTGCCACTGTTTAACTGGAAGAAAAAATAGGCAACATAATAAATTATCCAGGGAGATTGTGTAATGTCCTTTATTGAAGATAGACTCTGTGTAGATATCCATCCATGGTTTGGAAGGAAGCTTTCTCTTTTGCCGTACTTTTGGAGTGAGAACAGATGACCCACTAACTCAGGGCTGCACACATGGCTTTGAAAACAATTGAAAGTAATGAAAATATGGACTTTTTAAAAGGAAAATTTTTTTAAAGCAGACCAATGAACAGTGTTTATACAAGAAACACCTGGCTAATGGTTTGGGTGAAGCTACTGGTGTTTACTGAGTTTTTTCTTAAGAGCTGTGAGGTGTACTCATTTGAGGCATCATAATTCTGGCTCCAGGTTTTATCCACTGATGTAGGTTTAGCAGTTTTGTGAAAAGAGAACAGGATAGTCATAACACTGCTTTCTGAATTTCCAAGAGTGCTATGATTTCTTGGTGGACATGGCTCATTCGCTGAGTCAGTTTGTCTTGAAGTGGCCTCATCATCAGATAGGTATGCTTTTGACACATCTTGAGGCAGCTCAAGTGTGTGACCTAGTGGATTGGTCACTCAACTAGTGACCTAGTTGGATTGATAGTAATCCAAGTATGACTAGTTTCTGAAACTGGCTTCATTTCTACGGGCAGCAGTGCAGGAACACTCAAGAGTTGGCATTCCGTCTGAGCCGCGTCTGCCTTGTCAAGTGGGTGCCGGCGCACTTTCTGTCTAGCCTCAGCCCCATACTTGCTCTTCCTTGGGTGCATCATTAGGGCTTTTGTTTCTTTCCTTGTGGTTTCAGGTTGCCTGTGTTGAGATGTGTTTATAAATTATGTCAAGAAGGAAAAAACCCCCACCGTTAGAAGCAGCATGGTGGGATGGGGCAGCACACTGGAGGTCCCAGAGCTCCTACATCTCTGATCCAAGAAGCTAACTTAGGAAATCTATGTAAACTACTATGTGTGAGGTCATTAAAAACAAAAGAAAAAAAAGCTCCCCCCTAAAAAAAAAGTCTTTTCAGAATATTCCATAAAGATGTACTCCGGGAGAAAAGTCAAGTCCTTGGTGACTTAGGTCTCTGCATATTGGTGTAAGGAACATGCAGTGATCCCGACGAGTCGGGGAGATCGGGCACTCTGCCGCAGGATTCTGTTTTGACGTGAGCCAACAATTGAAACTTTGTCCCCCTTGCTTTGCAGGTGTCTCTTCTATCATAATTGAACTCAGGTTTTGCATGTTTCACCCAAACAGCTCAAATTTTTTCTGGCAGATTGCCAAGTGCTATTATTTCCTCTCTGCTACCTAATTAGCGGTATTCTTTTGTTTTTCCTTCCATTTTTGATAACAATCACAGACGGGCAGTACCCTCAGGGATGCAGGTGGGCTGAATTTGGCCTTATGTGCTCCTGTACTAACTTACCTTTCTAAATTAAATGATTTAGACTTCTGAAACATTGGAACAGTTGGCAGTTGCTGTAGACTTTTCTCAGCATAATCAATGAATGTCGGCCTGCTGTTAGATACATGCAAGTTTAATCTCATTTGATCTTGTCATTTCAAACATTTTAATGCAATTTATTTTTTAACTAGGTACATGTGAAGATTTCTTGGCAGCTTAGTGTGGAAACCATTGATCACCTTGCCCTCATTTCTGCCTGTTCTGTGTCAGCAAGAGAGAGTGCCCAAATGAGCAAGATAGCCCAGCAGAACAGTACTCCGGGAATAAGTGTTATTCATACTCAGGCTCATGCCGGCGGCTTACAGCAGGTTCCTCAGCTGGTGCCTGCTGGCCCGGGGGGAGGAGGCAAAGCCGTGCCCCCAAGCAAGCAAAGCAAAAAGAGTTCGCCCATGGATCGCAACAGTGATGAGTATCGTCAGCGCAGAGAGAGGAACAACATGGCTGTGAAAAAGAGCCGGTTGAAAAGCAAGCAGAAAGCACAGGATACACTGCAGAGAGTGAATCAGCTCAAAGAAGAGAATGAACGTTTGGAAGCAAAAATTAAATTGCTGACTAAGGAATTAAGTGTATTGAAAGATTTGTTTCTTGAGCACGCACACAACCTTGCAGATAACGTGCAACCCACTAGCACTGAAAATACAACTTCTGATAATGCAGGACAGTAGACCTCACCCCTTCCAAACTTCACAACTTGTGGCTTGAACGTTAAAGGTGTGACTACCTACATCACTCATATCAATGGCCGAACATTGTCTTGTTCCATTATTCAAAGACCCACTGAAGGTTGTTTTCTAGGATCAGCACTGAAGAGTTGATTAGCTAAAAATGTTAGCCATGTAATTTGAATATCTAGTTTTAAATGATATGGATTTTTTTGTGGGGATAAAACCAATTTTTAAGGTATATGGTAAAAAAAAAAAAAAAAAAAAAAGCCCTGGACCTTGATATTCTTAATAAATCCTCACTTCCCAAGAAATGCTTCTTTTGTAGGTTGATCAAAGGAATGGGGAACTGGCAGGTCCTGCAGAAGGGTCTTGGTTTTATTGGAGATGATTAATTAGACTAAGAGAAGTTGAATGCCATCTGTGTTAATCTATTTGTGTTTTTTTTCTAAATTATGTATTAAAAATCCTTAGGGCTATAGAAATCAATCACTTTGTAATTTGGAGTGATTTTATGTATAACATAAACCTGTTTTAGCCTAATTAGTACTGTTTTCCCCCAACAAGTATAAGTTTTTGAGTAGCGGTGCCAGGTTAAGTAAATTCCATTACGTTTTAAAGGCAGTATACAGCCAGTGGCTTGAAAATACTAATGATTAGGAGACAAATAGGTTTCTTAAAAATAAAAGTAAAGCATATTAGAATTATGCTTTCGGGATACCTTTGGGTTATTGGATTGGCATTATTTTGTTTTCTAACAACAAAAAACCCCCAGGAGTTTAGAGAAACTTGTATCTGTAAACTACAATTTTTGTTTCTGTAGATGCTGGTCAAGTTAAGTAAATATTTTTTGTTTCTGTAGATGCTCGTCAAGTAAGTAAATATTTTTAAAATACCATTTTGACAGCCAAGTTAGTAGACAAATGCCTTAACAGTTTACTGATTGGGATTTAGGTAACTTCTCCTGTGTCCAAATATCTTCAATGGGGCCATGATTATTAAAGGCAAAAATTTCTTGTGAAGGATCATTTGGCTTTTGATCTTAACCAAGTCATTATTAGAAAAATACGTCATCAACTCTATGCCGTCTCCCAAAATAATAGTCTAAGAAAACTTGAAAGTGTAAGGTTTAACCTTTAATTTATTTCACTTAAATACATCTTTTTATATTGTTTTTGTGACATTTCTTTTTCTAGTTAGTGGGCTCTTCTAGACTTTTGTACCACTGCTTCTGTTTGTTCATTTGTATGCTTTTGTGTCCCATAAATTATTTTAGAAAGAAAATACTGATAAAACTCAGGATATTGACATTTTTGTTGAGACTAAAAAATGGCAGTCGCTAAAGTCGGGGATCGCTAGGGTCTGGTTTATATCAGTGTTTGTGGTTTTGATTGTCCTTGTTGATTTTTTTTTTTAGCACAATCCTAGCTCAGATTTGTTGGTTTTTGTATATTTCTGTGTGTGTGTGTATGTGTGTGTGTGTGTGTCTAGGCTGGTGACAAGAGACTGAGTCACATCTGATTAAAAAGTTTGTGTTACCAGGTATCTTATTTGAACATGGTCACTTAAGTTTTTGGCCATATTGTTTCTTACTAGGACTTGGAACAGTGTAACCAGGATGTGACTCAAGTTGCACCCTTGGGTTGGTACAAAAGTGTGGTCTGTGCTCTTCTGGGCAGGTGAAAATACCACCGTGACCTGCAACTCAGCAAAGCCATTATTAAGGCCATGAGCCTCTTCCACATGTGACTGGAACCCAGCGTTGTTCCATGAGAGCCACTGTCCCAGGAGGGTTAGCTCCCTGGAGAGCCAGGAGACAGGATCAAGGTTTCTCTTAGGGTCTGACATCGGTTTACTTTGGCTGCAGTATCAGTCTACTTCTAGGTCGATAGATGTTTTGACTGACTAGGAGGTAACCCGCAGAATCCTACTGAATCTTTAATAGCTGATTGATGTTATATAATTAACCTATTTAGAGGTACAGTTAGGTCACTTGAATCGTTAAGCGCCTATAAAGGTGTTACAGACATTGTAATCTCTTGTTTACTAAAAAAAAAAAAAAAGTCTTTCAGAAATTGATGTCCCTATGGAATTTATGGTTACCATTTATATGAACTGACTTAACTGTCTTGGAGAAGAAGCTTCAGGGAAATCATCAGGGGTGTGCACTCGATAACTTCAAATCCGAACATAAGATTGAAACTTGGAAAAATTGATTCAAGCTTTCCTGTTAACCTATGCAAACCAGAACTTTAGCACAAGCCGTCATGTATGCGTAGAACAAAAATGTTAACCGTTGTCTTGACTGTCTTACTGAAGTGTTTGGGAATGAAAGTTTGCAGTTTGATAGATTTATCAGTATCAAATTGAGGGAAACCAAGTATGGGGAATGGGTAAGTTTAGAGCTTTGGGAATTGTTAAGATGACTTTTGTAACTTCTGTTCTGTAGGTTACGTATGCACCGTTAGGGTTTGATCTGCCTTTGCCGGCAGGTCCAGTGGTTTAGGAAGTAGGCTTTAGTGTAAATGTCTAGCTGCATCTGAGTCATCCGAGATGGCTGCTTTGTGGATGGGGTTGGCAGCACGTGGGGAGATCAGAGCAGCTCTTCTACCGTCTGGCCCCTTGCGGTGACTGGAATGTGAGCTCAGATACTTTGGACATTCTTGCTAAGAGGTAGTAAGATAGTAATAAAATATGACCAGATGTTTGAAAGTTAGGTCACAAGTGTGAAATCTGAAATTTACATAAAAAAGTAGTATGTGCACTTTAGTATTTGGTATTAAAAGAAATCAGCCTTTGGTGTTTCTCAGCCCCCATTAGAGGGCTTGAAACATACCTGGACAACCCAGTTAGCACTCAGAGTGCTTTTTGATGCCTTAGAAATAGGAAGCAATTTTTTGTTTGACAAAAGCTAGGGAGGAGAAAGTCCATTCTAATAGCTGTTAGAGCTGCCTCTCAGGAAAAAGTCCTTACCTTGTTCTTTTTGTTCCTGGCTTTCCTCAGTTTGTGAGATTACTCTATTTTTTTAAATATAATTTTATTTCTTTCAATGAATTTGAAATAAAAAACTTTGGAATAATGACTGTATTTCCTTGTGGGTTTCTTTCTGTTCGTATCCCGAGGAAGTAGTCCAGATGTCCAAGAGCTCTGAAGAGCAGGCAGATGGTCGGCCGTCTTTCCTGCTGTCCCAGCCCAGGGCAGGGGTGAAGGTCGCTGAGGGTCGGGGGCGGGAGGTGCTTTTGTCCAAGTCTAGATTTCCCTGAATGGATGGGAACGTGAATGGATTTCCTCTGAATCTAGAGGGCCTCTTCAGTGCTGTTCGTTGTCACGTGGTCTAACCCGGGAATGGGGACCAGGGTGGAGAAGGCAGCGGCGGGCTCGCCTGCTCGGGCACCTCGTGTCTCAGTGTGTGGTTTCCAGTCACACGGTGGTGGTAGAGAGGAGTTCTTGAGGCTTTGAGGCCTCGGGAAGGTCGAAGTAAGGCCTTTCCCCTAGCAGCACAATTTATAGTGTGTACCTCCTCATTGACGTGATGCTGTGGAGTGTCTCTGCAGATGAACGAGGCAATACTGAATCCATGCTGATTTGAGTGTGTCAAGGGAAGATGTCATTTAGAGACTCTTCTGTGATGCATCAGCTTTTTTCATGTGTTGGGACATAGGTTTCTACTTACTGCATCTTAATGACAGTCGTAGTACAGTAATTATTTCTGCGGGTAGTGCATCCTATTTGGTTTTTACAAAGTAGTTGTAATTTGGGAGCCCATAAATAGTTTGTCTTGGGGAATTGTATATAGAGATGATTTGTGAAGGTGCCAGCTTTTTTTTCAATAAAAGCACCTTTGGACCTGCTCTGTCACTGCCTGGGAGCATCTAGAGTCCGTGTGCATTGTACGTGCACTCGAAGGAGATCGCCAATCCCGAACAGTCTCGTACTGCCACGCGCATTCCTCGCACAACTCTAGGCCTGGAAGCTACGCAGCGGTGCGCACAGGGTCCGGGGTGCAGAACTGGGCTTGGAAGCGAACGGGCCTGTTGTACTTTTCGTGTCGCCCAAATGACTACATCTGGCCCGGGCCTTCCCGCTCCGCCACCTTTCCCTTCTACCCCCTAAATGTGCTTTCCTCCCTCCCTCCCCCGCCGCCCAGAACCATCGTCCTCTCTTGCCCGGACTTGGTCTCCTTGGACCACTGCCTGCTCTCCAGAACCTGCTGTCATTCCCCACTGCACCCAGAGGGAGACCCCGTCTCCTTGTGACGTGGCTCCCCTCATCTGCGGCCTTGCTTTCCCTCCGTCCTCCGTCCCCTGTTACTTGGCTTTGGCTGCAGGGCTTCTCCAGGCTCGTTTTACTCCAGGCCGCCTTTGAACAACAGTTCACGTCTGGGTGCCTCATCTTGTCTCGCTTTTCCCTTTCACTCCTTCCTGTCTCAGCGCCCTGGCTTTCTAGACAAGGTCAGCCGTTCCTTCACGGCACTTTGCGGTGAAGGGATCTGTGCTTGCTTGTTCAAGGCGAGGCCTCTCAGGATCCCCGAGGCTCGGAGAGCAGGGAGGGTGGTTTCCTACTACACCGGCCAGAGTGGCTGCTCAGTTATTTATTGAAGGAATACCCAGACCCTTCCAGGGTTTCAGAAAGGCTTTTTCAGTGCTGTTCTGCTTTCTGGAAGGGTCTCTAAGGAGTTTCTGAAGCTGTATGCCTTTCTGCAGAGGTCTGGAGGCATGAGGAGTTGGGTGCATCCTCTGGACCACGGGGTAGAGGGGGCGCTGCTGGCCACCCGAGCCCCCCACCGCCGGAGGGTGTCCTGACTCACCGCCCCGAGGCGAGACCAGTCAGACCTACCCTCCCAGTGCCCCTCTGTGACGAAGAACATGTAGTTAACGGGATTTCCCCTTATTCTTCTGACCTTCTTGCTTGGTAATCACAGAAAATGTACGTGAAACGGGCAGTTTTGGTATGAGGCGTCTGAAGGAAAGGAAGGAGAAAGATGTGACAACAGGCAGCTGTGTTTAACACAAACGAAACTGTCCATTTAGAGCGCTAGCCTCACTGTATCCGGGCTTATCCGGGCGCGGGGGCAGCTGAAACCCCGGATGCCAGAACGGGTCCCCCGCAGGTGCAGCCGGGGCAGAGAAACATTGGTGAATGGAGACTCCTGACACTCAAGTCCATCACTGCCAACCGCTCGAGGTCACAAATAACTTAGGGACTGCCTGAGCACCGGAGCAAACCTGAAAAAATGGGTGTGATCGATCTGAGGAGCAAACCAGGTAAACTGATCTGGAACCGAGGTGGTCTCATTTTAATGTGGTCACTTTGCAAGCACTTTTGTGTTACTGCCGCAGGAAGAAATCGGTTTGGACTCAACGCTTCAGTGACTTCTCAAAATGTCTAGCTTGGGCTACAGAGTTTCCCACCCCATCGTGGTTTCATCTCTGGTGTCCCTTCACCTTGGCCCGGAAAGTCCTGGATGAGAGGGCTGTGGAGACACAGGCCCGGATCGGTTTCTCACCGAGCTCCCCCGCTCCCGGCGGGGGCAGGGCTGCGGGACGGGGGACCTGGGCCAGCAGAGGGGAGGACAGGCATTGCGCATTCGGCGGGGACCAGGCCCAGCTGGCCCCAGAACACTCCCTGCCTGCGTGGAGTTTGGTCCGCGGGTTCACACTTAGGGAAGACAAATGGTCTCAGCAAACGGAAGCCACTAGAAGGCTCACCTCTACCACGGAGCGGCCCTAGGTGGCTGTGTCGCTCAGGCGGATGCCGGCTTTGCTATGAAAAGGGCATCGAGGACAAGGCATCCCTGCCAAGTCTCACATTTTATAGAACTGTGCCTTAAGTGCTGCATAAAAATTGTTCCCTTCAGAAATCTAGCTTTGAGGCAGTGCCCCGCCCTCGAAAAGGCTTCTTCCTCTAGCGGTTCACCTTTTCATGTGCAAAGGCCCGTGTAGGGTGGCTCCACGCCTGCGCCCCGGCTCCCCGCTCTGCCCCGGCAGCTGCTATGCTAGGTCCCTGCGTGCCAGGCTCCGCCGCCGAGCGAGAAAGAACAGAGAGTAAGCTGTGCACAAAGGACCATTTTGGGAAACTTTTTATTGCAAATCCGACTCTGCACATTGATTTTTGAGAGGAAACGCTGGAAATGGATCTTCCCGGAGCAGAAGAATGCAAATGACGAGACATATTTTAGTTGCTATCAAGGAGCAGAATTCTCTTCCATTAGCACTTTAAAAGCCACTGTCATTCAAGCAGAGTAAGAGCAGATTCAGGTGTGATCTTGCAGAAGGTTAAGAAAGAGACCCTCCCCCCCTGCCCCCCGAGGAAACCACAAGCTCAAACATGGACGCAGCCATGGGATTTCTGAGCACGCATCTCTCGCCGCTCGAGGGCCAGGCAGGAGGCTGCGCATCGTGAAGACAGGTGGCCAGGCTGGGTCCCTGGTCCCACTGGGCACTCCCAGCTGGCTCTACTTGGGGCCACAGAAGGGAGTAAAGGCCTTGTCACTGCCTGCCATGCATGCTTCGATCTCCTCCACCGTGCGGGGCACACAGGTGAGCAGTTCCATGCCACTAGCAGTCACCACGACGTCCTCCTCGATCCGGACCTGCGTCACAATGACAGACACTCATGGGGGTGCCTGGGTGGCTCAGGGGGTGAGCATCCGACTCTTGGGTGTCAGCTCAAGTCATAATCTCACGGGTCCTGGGATTGAGCCCCGTGTCGGGCTCCACGCTCAACAGGGAGTCTGTTGAGATTCTCTCTCCCCCCTGCCCCTCCCCCTACTTGGGCATGTGAGTGTGCACGCGCACACTCGCAAATAAATCTAAAAAAGAAAAACTCGGGGGAAAAAAAAGAAGAATGACAGACACTATTTCTGAGTTGGCCTCACGCACCAGATTAGAGGCTCAGACCAGCCGCTGGGTTGGAGGAGCCCCTTCTAAGGAGCGGTCTGTCTTGCCTGTGATGGAAGGGGCTGGCCTCCAGGCCTCCGTGGGAGGCTGTTGAGACGAAGGCGCCTCCCATGGGGCCATCTGCTCCTGCCACCTGCCCACCCAGTCCTTGCCCCTTGCCCAGTGGACGGGGTCCCAGAGTGGGCAGGGGTTTTGTAGAATCTGTGTCTGTCTTGCTGAGGAGCGAGGCACTGGTCCGTGACAGACCATGAGAAGGCACATGCCGGGTCCTTCTCAAGGGAGGAAGTGAAGACCATCCCCACCCCCACTAGGGCTCCTGTCTCGAGACAAAGGGGTGGCGCGCTGCAGTGTGCGCATGTCGGTGTCCAGGGGGCCGGGATGCGGGGCCTGTGGGCACTCACCCCCCCGAATGCCCGGAAGCGCTGCAGGACCTCGCGGTTGAAGAAGCAGGCACGGGCCGGGTCGGCCAGGGCCTCGTCCAGCAGGTGGTCGATGAAGTAAATGCCCGGCTCCACGGTGAGCACCATGCCCGGCTCCAGGTGCCGCGTGGTGCGCAGGCTCCGCAGGCCGGGCTCATCGATGCGTTCCACGCCCTGTGAGGAGAGGCAGGGCCCGGAGGACCCCAGCGCTGGCACGGATGGAGGGTTCCCGCCGCGGCGGCAGCCAGATGGCCCCCAAGGCCCACCTGCTGAGCCCTCCCTGCTCTCACTGGAGCTTCGGATGAGACCCTCCACTCTCCGCAGACACCGCCAGACTTGGCCGGTTCCTGCCTCTCCTTAGCCCCCACACTGCCTGCAGGGGCCCTGTGGACACCTATGTGCACGCCGCCGGGGCGAGCTGCCCGAGCCGGCCGCCCTCACCCAGGCCCTGTCCCCGCCAGAGAGGGCGGCAGAAGCCAAACTCCGGAAGCCAAAAAAGCTCTTAAGGCGGCTGCAGGGCTTCCCGCGCTGCGTCGTGTCTTCCAGGCAGCTGGAGTGGGAACCGGCCCCAGAAGCACTGGGCCCCGCTCCCCCAGGCCAGGACCCAGGTTTTCCGCGGGGCCTTCCAGGAGGAGGGACAGGTGCTGTCCCCAGGACAGGCGTGACGCTGCTGTGCACACGCACAAACGCGCACGCGCGTGGAGCCTGGGGGCGTGGCCCCAGAGGAGCACACGTGGGGGGCTGGCCCCCGCCCTCGCAGA